CAGGCTAGTGTTTTTACCCAAGATTGCTGAATTCACTTTAGGTGATGATTGATTGATTGATTGATTGATTGATTGATTGACTGACTTTAAAGTACTGGACATGGAAGCCATGCTAGACATGTACTCACCACAGAGCCACACCTCAGCCCTCTGGAGGTGATTAGCTGTCTTCAACATGAAATTGAATGCTGATGTTCTGGAAGTGTTTTTTGGGGGTTTTTTTTGTTTTTTTGTTTTTTTGTTTTTTTTTGAAGTTTTGTTTGTGGCAGGCTCAGTCCACCCTGGGGGTGGGGCTGACACAGCATGTGGTGCCTGGGATCAGACCACGGTCCCTGTGCTTGCCTAAACATGCCTAAGCAGGTGCTCTAGACCACTGAGCTATCTTGCCAGCCCCAGGTTTTTTGGATTTTTTGTTGTTGTTGTTGTTGTTGTTGTTTTTTAATGTGATAGGTGCTAAATCTGCACAATAGGGAGAATGAGTCTTTTTTTATTTCTTTCTGCCTCAAAGACTATACAAATATTGCTTTAATAAAAAGAGCAGAGTATGTTCCCAAGTTTCCATGTGCAGTAAACACTATAGAGTTCTAGAGCTAAATTGAGAGCCAAAAGAAGGAACCAGAGAGATCCTCTTTTCCAATGTCCCCATTCTATAGTCAAATGCTCTGCCTGAGAGCTATACCCATAAGGACACCATTCTATAGCTAAAATGACTGAGGACCAGAGTTCAGTGATTTTCTGAAAGTCATGGGCCAATGGTGTGTCACAGGGAGCAACAAGCAAGTGCACTTCTTGGCTGCCTATCCTGGCCATGCAGAAGCCCACATCCCTGCCCAAGGGCTCACAGAAATGCAGGGAGAATTGCCTTCTGTCTTTAGGATGGATCATCCGTTAAAGAAAAAAACTTCATTTGCACATGGGCACACCAGGCCTCTGGATTTCTGGTTCTCAGTCCAGAAAGTCTTGGATTTCTTTTTTTTTTTTTTTTTTTTGCAGAACCGGGGATTGAACTCAGGCCCTTGGGCTTGTTAGGGAAGCACTTATTCCACTGAGCCATCTCCCCGGCTAAGTCTTGGATTTCGAAGCTCTAATTTCAGTCTTTCTAGGAAACAGCAGTCTGACGGTTCCCAGCCTCTCCTGTCCTGGTTCTCTGCTTCTCCATTCAGAGGCTGGGCACTGTCTAGGGTACAGCTCAGGGGTGAGCACTTTCCTGGCACGCACTAGCCTCTGGGTTCCATCCTGAGCACTGCAAAAGAAGAGAAAAGATTTCACTGGAAAACACCATTTCCTAAACAATTTAAAGACAGGGAGACGGGGCCAGATAGATTGGGTTTGAGAGGTTTGTTGTCCATGGGCAAACCCCACACTATGGCTAGCCCTGATCTGTAAGATGGGTAGATGTGATTAAAATAAATAATGAAGCAGCTTTTTCCCATTTAAAAAAGAATACAAGCTGGGTGTGATGGCACCTGCCTGGCACACGAGAGGCTGAGGCAGAAAGATCCTGAGTTTGAGTCCAGCCTGGACTACATAGTAACACCCTATCTCAAACAAAAGAATACAATTAAAAATTTATTTCCTCTACAGCTTTGGATTTTTATATGTTACATGCAAATTTAGTCCTACCAAATGGTTGTATTTCTCATCCCTTTTCTGAACCTCGGTGACTAACAATGCTAAAAATCATCTGTCCAATTACTTGTACTAACAGTTGAACCTAATTGGTAGCATGGTCATTTAACAATACAGATATTTCTTCACAAGATTTTACCTTTTGGGAACACTTCAACTTAAGAAAATTCACATCTTATTTAGATACTATCAAAAAGGGCTTTGCTTTATTATCTTCTCATTCAGAAATTACCACATATTTGGCTATTTTTGGTAAGAGAAATAAGCAACTCTCTTTGTGTGTTCAAGTTAACATTTTGATTACCCACCAGGAAAAAAAAAAATTGCTTTCCTAGGCATGTAAACCTCTATGTGTGTTTAGAGTTTCTTACCTGTAAAAATTTAACCAGAGAGTGGAACAACATCTGGACATGATAGGTACTTACTTATTATTCACTGAAAAGGCAGAAATGAATGTGGTCTTTGAAGTAAGTCCAAGAGCAACAGATAGTTGGGGACTTGGCGCACCTCTGTTTTGTTATATCATAATTCACTTTCCCCATATTTTTTTGCAGCTGTATATGTGGGGGCCCTGGGTGTAGAACCCAAGTGACAGATATACTGGTGGGGGTGCCGTAGCCCTGAGCTGCACCCCAGCCCACAATGTCTTCTTCGTTTAATATTCCCTATCTCTTCCCTGCTGCTGTCTCTTCTGATCACCTCTGGAAACTTGCCAGAGGATTTACTGTCTTCATTTCTGCCTGTTTTTAAAATTGATATATTTTAGTGTTTACTTCATTTAGCATCTGCCATGTACCTACTATGTGTGTTTGGCCAAGACAGGGAAAACCCAGTACTTGTAGGACTTACAGGACTTCTACCCTAGTAACCAGCATAAACTCACTGAAGTCCAGTGATGGTCTCCCATGGGATCTGGGTCAAGCCAAGCCCTTAGGAAGCTTTTTCACATCCCAAGTGTCTCAGTCACTCCTGTTGGGTGTAGGGGTGGCTTAGCACCATGTCCCCTGGGAGATGTGCAACTTGGGAAAATCCCAGGCAATTTCCAGGGGCTCTACCTCCTTGACCTCCTACTCTTCACCTGAGAACAGCTACTGAACACCCAGTGAAAGCAAGCCACAGGGACTGCTGTCAGGATGAAGGATGGTCAGGAATAGCTTCAGGGAGGGTGGGAAGGAATCCACCATCTAGAGTTGTGTTTTCATTTTATTTCCTAATATTCAAGGGCTGGGCATGGTGTTAAACACCCACAACCCCAACTTTTCAGGAGCCTGTGGCAAGAGGATGGCAAATTCAAGGCCAACTTGAGCAACTTAGGAAAAAACTTGTCTCAAAATAAAACTGAACTAAATTTGTAAAGGGCTGGAATATAGTTCAGTGGCAAAGTGGTTGCCTAGCAAATACAAAGCCTTAGGGTTGATCTCCAGTACCACACAAGTGCACAAGCGTGCAAGTGTGTAAATTTACTATGTGCTGGATAGTATGCTAAGGACCAAAGGTAACATAATGAACAAGATTCCTGCCTTCGTGGAAATTCCATTGCAGAGGAAAACAGAAACCTTAGAAATGGAGTCCGAGATCAGAGCTGTGAGACCCAGGGAGAGGTAAACAGGTCAGACCCTGAGGCACTCCAGCATGTTTCAGCTGAGGAATAGGACTCTTCACCCTGTGAGAATGTGCACAGCCACCCCCAGCCCTGGGGAACTGAAAAGAAAGAGGAAGGAAAGAGCAAAAGGGGGACAATATTTTTTGACCAAAATTTGGCAATGTTTAAAGACTTCTGTTTGAAAGGGTCAAGTGTGAAGGATCTACCTACCAGAAATGTCTAGAGAAGGGCTAATTTACTTGAAAGGAATCCTCACTAAGAGGCAAGAGTCCCTTCTCCTCTGACTCCAAAGCTCCATAACAATTGTTGGATCCATTGGTGATAAAGCTGATTCAGGGTTGCCTGAGATGAATTTATGAATCTGAGACTGAAGGATACAAATGATCTACAATTCAGCTGGGGGTGCAGCTCCACAGTAGAGCACATACTCAGTATGCACAAGACACTGGGTTCCATGCCCAGCACCGAGTAAATCAACAGATCAACGCAGTCCCCTAGGCACTCACAGGACTGCGTGTCTCAGCACTTGGGTTGAAATGCTCCCTATAGTGAAGTATCTCACAGAGCCAGCCCTCTGTTCATCCCTTTATTCCACAGCCATTGGCTGAGTGCCACTGAGCACTCGATATGAGTGAGCAAGACACCATCGTGCCCCAAGGACCTGCTCACCCAGAGCAGAAACTGTCACCCATCACCCTGACACTGTTTGTACATGGTAGCGGATATGGTAGCCAAGTGTCCATGGTGGGGAAACTCACTGTCCAAAGAGGCCCCCAAGGAAGGCTTCCAAAGTCATATTTTATCAAAAACATTGTTATGGAGAAAGAAAAACCAACCACAATTGGAAAGTTACAGTTATGTGAATTGTTTTCCTGGGGATGGACCCCAGGGCCTCACACGTGCCTAGCAAGTTCCAAGGAGTGAGCCACTCACAGGCCCCACAAACAGATTAATTTCCTCCATCTAGGCCTCACGCCTGTTCCTCCCTACCTGTCTTTCCTTTTCTTAGCTTTTCCACTTCCTCACTCCATGAGCAACACAATGAGAGGATATTATCTTTTTGACAGACGTCATTAAGTCAAGGAAATAAATAGGGCTTCTCTCCACTAAGCATAAAGTACTCTGTGGCCTGGTAAGTGACACAAAATGTGCTCCATACTTCTTTACATCAAGGACAGAGTTGATGCTTTGAGTTCCCTGAGAGCACAGCCTGTGTGTGTACCTCTTTGACTTCCGCATAGGTCCTAACTTTAATTCATGAAATACCCAAGTCATTCTGTGCCTGAAGGGACATCAGATACTGGGACTACCAAGATAAACAGAAGGCCAACATCCATGGCCTTTGGGATGTTGTACTGTACTGTGGTGAACAGGCATTGTGGAAAGGGCTCCCCTTCAAGTATTTTCAGAGAAGGAATAATTAGCTGAAAGCCTCACAAAGAGAGTGACAATCGAACTGGGCTATGAGAGATGAATTAGAATTGACTGTTACTTCATGTTTGAGTGAACATTTCCCTCCCTTTGCTAAACTAACTCTGACATTCCTGGCAAGGTCTTGCCTTCCATTATTTAATTGATGATTTAACTTTACCAATGATCTGTGCCACGGGCATGAAATAAAATCACCAACAAAGTGATGGACAGAAACCAGAAGGTGAGAGGAACGAGGACAGCAAGAGTCCTCCTGTGGGAACCAAGGCCAGGCGAGCAGGGGGACACTAGAGAGAGTGACTCAGTGATTTACTCTGTCCTTCCTCTTCCTCTGCAGCCATCAGGTTTGGGCGGATGCCACAGGCTGAGAAGGAGAAGCTGTTGGCCGAGATCTCCAGTGACATTGACCAGCTGACCCCAGAGTGTGCAGACCTCCGGGCCCTGGCCAAGCACCTGTATGATTCATACATCAAGTCCTTCCCTCTGACCAAAGCCAAGGCCCGGGCGATCTTGACAGGAAAGACAACGGACAAATCAGTAAGTCTCCTCCGCTGTCTCCATCGGGTGGTGCGGGCGGGGCATTTCCTCTGAGTCAATGATTCACTCAGCGCTTGGGCTGCTGGCTGCAACACTCAGAAGGAAATGTTTTCAGATAGGCTAGGTAAACATTATTTAAAAAGAGGAAAAAATCCCTTCAAGTTGTAATATAATCATGGCGACTAGTGACAGAATATATAGCTCAGCTTAAGGTTAATGATGAGCTGGAAGCCACTCATGCGGCCATCTCTTTCAGGACCACGTCACAGCTGTGATGCCTCAAACCTCTGATCACAGCACTCTGGGAGGCTGAGGCAAGAGGATCACAAGCTCCAAGCTTAGTGAGACCCCATTGCAAAAGGAAAAACATAAAAAGGGCTGGCTGGATACATACCTCAGTGTGAAGAGCCTGGTTTAGATAAGGCATCCAGTCCTCGCTCTTTTCCAGAAAAGGAAGAGAGTCACCTTGTGCAAAGCTCAATGTGGGGCATGGAAGTTCATTCCAGACATTACATAATCTTTCCTATACGCTAACCTGTATATTACATAACCTGTGGGCCCTGGTGTTCATTTTGGGGAAGTGGAAGCTCTCTTCTCTCATTACATAAGTGAAGTCTTCTGCAGAGCCACCTAGGCAGCTCATACTTGGGGGCCGGAGTTGACTGTCTGCTTGTTTGTTTTGCTGCACTGGGTAAGGAACCTGAACCTCAACTCTACGCAGCAAGTGGTCTACCACTGGCCACATCCCAACACTCAAATGGGCTCTTAAATGCCTCTGGATGGGTTGTGATTATCACTGACTAAAATTTTCCAGCAAGCAGAACTCTTCCCTGGTGGAAGCTGAGAAAGCAACAAAACAAAAGCATACCTTGATTCTGATCTAGTTGTGCTGCCTGCGGACAGCACTACCTGGACAGTGTCTGTGCACGGTGGTGTTTACACACAGGGTGAGGGTGTGGCTTTGATTTCAGGGTCAGCAAGATGTTCCAAGGCAGTGACACCCACAGAGCACTCACAGAGGACACCATCCCTGGCCACCTGCCTGCACTGAAAGGCCTATGGCTAAGAGAGGGGTGTCCCCACCCGGTACGTGTGGGCACCTCCTGCACAGGCGATGGTCTTCAGGGAGATCTTGCTATCTTTTCAGGTGTATTGATGACTTCACAATATGTCACTTTCTCCTTTTAAAATTAAACCACTTAGTAAACGTGGCTCAGCTGATCAAACGCGGCATGAGGAGCTGGTAACAATCAGGACAGTGAGTTTTCCACTTGCAAAAGAGGTCAGTGGTGTCTTAGCAATAATATACCCAGGTCAGGTTTTCTACACTTTCAAAAAGCATTATATGATCCTTATATTCAAGCTGCATGACCATCCAAAAGCTATGGTACTGTACTGTACTGTACTGTATTGCATTTTGCAGTTCTGGGCAAGCACTCACCACTGAGCTTCATCCCCAGCCCTTTTTATTTTGGTCTGAGAAAGTGCCTTGCTAAGTTGCCCATGCCAGCCTTGAACTTTGGCTCCTCCTGCTTCAGGCACCCAAATAGTTGGGATTACAAACCTATGCCAACACACTAAGTTTATTATTCCCCTCTTTTTAAAGACAAGGAAACTAAAGTTGGAGAGGTTAAACCTTCTCCCTAGGATCCTGCAGCAACTGTGTGGAAGGAGTGAGCCCATCATGTAGCACCCTGACTTCTAATATAGAGCATTCATAGCATGTTTGTGCCTTGATGCTCCTGGAAGGGATGCTCCTGGGATGCTCAGGAAAACTGAGTCTCTAAAGGCTCTGTATATAAAAAATGTGAGCTGATCTGACTATAGAAAATAAACCTGTCCTCATTTCCAGGAGAGAAATGAAAGAGGACCACAGGAATATGCCTACAGCCTTGAGCACCTAGGCAGGTGGTGACAGCTGCTGGGAACAGTCCAGGGAAGGGCTGGTGGCCGACCTCTTGCACCAGGGCTTCAAGGGCTGAGCCAGGAAGGAGGCCTGGCTTTGGTTTTGCCCTTGGCCCTGCATGTGACCCTGGCTTCTCACCTTCTCTGACCAATTCCACACCTGCCCTGTCTAAGGAGAAGCCCCTCCTTTTAATAGCCCTGGACAAAAAAAGAAAAGAAAGAAAAGCAAAGAGACTCCTAATGGTCAAAAACTTAAAACTCTACCACAGGTGCTCTTATCTTTGTTCTGAAGGACACAGAGCCCAAATCACTGTAAATCACCTTAAGACCTCATCCCAACCCACTTGTTGGCTCTATATCTTTGAGTTAAAGGTAAGATATTTGGAGGTTCTTTGTGGAATAGGGAAAAGACTACCAAATGCTTGGTCAGAAGCCCCTCAAGTTCAGAACCCAGCGTTGGCCATTTGGCCCTGAGTCGCTGGGGCTGTACTTGTCAGTAATGGTTTCTCAGACTGTATTTGCTTAATTGGATTAAGAACTGTTGCCTATGCCCTTTGAAATGCTGGACTTTCCACAGAGGGCTTTTCACTGGTTCAATATTTGCTCACCAAACTGGACATCATTAATGATCTGGATAAAGGCAGATTTACCTCAAGTTTGGGTCTGGAAAAGGAAAGAGAGGCTAAGCCAAATTAAAATAATCTGTTTGCTGATTACGGCATGCTCTATTTTCTCCTTATCTTGCAAAATCAAATTAAGCACCAGTGGAAAGAAATACTTGAGAGAGGAATATGGGCAAGAAAAAAAAAGTGATTTCCAATGAGACTGGAGATTTGTTCTTTATCAGCATGGTCATGTTATTCATTTGATAGCATCTATCTCAGGGGTGTAATGTTATCTCTTGGCTGGGTCTGTGAAAGTTAAGATTTGCATTGATAGGAAAAGCTTTGCTGAAGTGTGGCCTCTGGAGAGGGTGGGGGATGGACAGGGAGGAGCACTTAGGGTCTCACAGTGGCCCTGCTAGAGGCTGACATCATCCTCACTGGGGCCAAGCTGGAGGAGGCTGCTGGGCTCAGTGGAGGACTAGTCACCCACAACTTGGAAAAGGAAGTAAGTCCGCTGAAGAGGCCATTCTTTTAATTTATCTCACTGCTCCATTGGACCTCTGCCTATTTTGAGGCCAGCTGCTCCTCAGTGTTGGCTGCCTCTCCAGCTAAACTTCCTTCTTCTCTATCTTATGCCCCATGGTCACTAACACCTTCCAAAACAGATCAATTAAAAGTGCCTGCTGACCTCCCATCAGCCCTCACTTCACATCTTCAGGATAAATACCTCCACAGGTCACTTTCTTACCTAAAAGAATAAAAGTGGGAAGTTTTAGACACAGGGTGAGAGACAGATGGACAGTGGAGTCCCTGGAGAAGCAAGTGCAAAGCGACAGGTCTGTCTGTCGCCTTTGGGGGATCTGTCAAGGCCACAGTGCCTCCTTGGACCCTTCTGAGCCCTGAAGTCCACAGCTCTGCATTTCTTGAAGGCAATTTGATAACTGTATGGACTTTGGAAGTTCCTGATGTTTGACTATTACCCTGGTGAACACATCGGGTGTGTCATTGTCACATGATCTCATGTTTGTGGATGGAAATAAAGAGAGTGGTTTTCAAAAACCATCCTCAGCGCCAGGGTTTGTCATAAAACCATAAATAGAAAAGCCCTTGGCGCGCCTGCCAACGTCTCTCTCCATATCTGAGAGGTGGCGCAGTGCTGGCTGCACTCTATCTACAAACAAGGAATAAAACTTTTTATTTGTGCTACATTGGACTTTGGGTTCCAAACCCTCACTTTGTTTATGTTAGACGCATGTGGACTCATTGTTCCTGTAAGGACAAGAGCACACGGAAAAGTGGTCGTTCTGCGCTGCATATGAAATGCAAAACCACTATCGTGGAGCCAGTCTGAAGTTGTAAACGTCTGGGAAAATGTTTCTGTGCCCATTTACATGTGTGCCTTCTAATATTCACAGCAACCCTCACACTGAGGCACTCCCACCACCGGAAGGATCTCTCTCTTTGTAAATCCTACACTTGCTGCCAGAATGGCCCCTTTTTCTGTGGTCTTTGGAGAAGCCTGAATAAGCTACACTTTGCAAGTAGGGTCCTTAGAAGAGGGAGTTTGGGGAACCCTATTGAGCAGGATGGTCTCCATGATTCCTGGGATCATTCATCTACGTATCAATGTTAATAAAACATAATATTTTATTACCAGGGCCATCAGTAATGGCTAAGAATGTAACAAATCTGGACCAATAGTATTCTTTTCAGAAAAAAAAAGGGGACAATGACCAGGCACAGAGGTGTGCACACTGGTAATGCTTTGCCTAGTATTTGTGAGGTCCTGGGTCTCATCTCCAGCAACAGAAGCATTAATAATATTTTCTTTGGTAACAAGGGAACCACTGCACAGAGAACTTTCCTGGGGGTTGGACTCGATCGGCCTGCACCCCTGTTACCCAGCGTAGTTGTTTGGCTGTCACTGGATGGGTTTGGAGAGCTGTGGTTACTGGCTAGCTAATTTGTGAGTGAATAATCCCTCATAAATTTTTCTTTGTTGTCTTAAGTCCCTAAACCACATGGGGAGGCAGAATCACAGTTGACTGGCTCTCCAGCTTAGCTTCTGTCACACACAGCAATGCCCTGGGAAACTTGCACTGAGAAGCGCTTCTCGTGCATTCCAGGAAAGGATGCTCTTGAACAGGAGTGGAGATGCCAGGGAAAGGTCCCGAAGGAAACCCAACTAGCCATCTGGGCAGGAGGGAACGCCGACTCTAAGCCAGCTGTGGCACATCTGTAATCCCAGTACTCAGGGCTGAAGCAGGAGGATGGTGAGTTCAAGGCCAGACTCAGCTACATGGCAACTTTGAGTATCCTGGGCTCCATAGCAAGGCCCAGACTCAAAAACTAAAAGCATAACTATTTGACTTTGTGGTGACTTAGCTTCAGTTGGTTTATGTAGAGTCAGGGAATAATGATGCCAGCAACTCCTGAAGACCCTTTTTTTTTTTTTTTTTCTGTAAATCTGATAGTTCTCAAGAAGAGAATGATGGGAACTCCTGGGCAGAACAAGGAACCTGAGACCGTGCCATTGAAATAAATTACATTTGATGCATCTCTGCAAAGTGATGTTTTTTTCCCCTCCAGGAACCATTTTGCTCTTCAGGAAAAATGTTGGGATCAAGTTCAGCTTTTGTCTTTCCCTGATCCTTTTCCAGGTCTGTCCAGTGTGTGACAAGCACAAGCCACTAGATGCAGTGTCTGAACTCTTTATTAGCCCCAGTCTAGAAACATCAACTCTCCGAAACGATTCAGAAGTCACTCTTCCCCCTCCTGCAGTGGCAGGTTGTCCACGCTTATCACAAGTGTGAGAGTGCACTTTGCTTTGTGTGCCGTGTGAAAGGTGGTCACGGGAGGACAGCGTGATTTACATGGGCGCCATCCCAGAGGAGGATGGCTGAGCTGGCGACTTGGGCTTACCATTCAGTCCTCTCTCCTGTCCAGAAGTCAGGGGACCCTCCCTGTACTTCCCATGTTAGCATCAAGGGGATCCCTATGAGCAGCGAAAGCCATGGAGAAGCGGAAAGCCCACAGCCTACGCCCTGGAGAGCTGCTCGCTGAGGATCATGCTTGTAGGCTGACAAGTCCTCATGTCAGTGCAGAGAACCAATCAACTCTAAAAATGTGCACAAAGCAGCCTTGTGGGGCAGAACTAGGGAAAACAACAGCAAAAACTTCCTCCTGGTGTTCATTTGCTTGTCAGTACCCAGCATTGTCTGCCACCTCTCCACTTTTTCCAAATACTGAAGGACTTTTAAAAAGAATAAATAGTGGGACTGAAGCCAAGGGTGTGGTTCAGGCCTGTAATCTTAGCACTCAGGGGGCCGAGGCAGGAGGATCATCACTAGCTCAAGGCCAGCCTAGACTAGATAGTAAGACCCTGTCTCAAAAAAACCCAAAACAAACAAACAAACAAAAAGGCCCTGGGTCTGGCTCAGCATGGTAGTGGGGGTGCTGGTTCCCTTCTCCGTCCTTGAGTGTTTACTGCCAGGAAATCCTGAGCAACACTGATTGCCAAGGGGTTAAAGTCACATTGTTGTTAAATCGGGAGAGAAAATTAGCAGGATTTGGTGCCCTATGTCCAACTATCCCAGAGTTTCAAAAACAGGAACCTGGGGCTTTATACAAGGGGACAGGGGAAGTCGGGAAGAGTCACAAGGGTGACTTAGCAGGGCACGGGTCCAGATAATCACTCCATGGTGGTGGAAGGACCGTGTGCATATGCTGTGTGCCAGGAAGCCAAATGGCAACGCAGAAGCCTGGCTCAGCACTGAGCAGGCAGCTATGGGAAGTTTCCGCCTGAGCCTCTTGCATTTGAGGAGTCTTGAGACTCCACAGGGCCACCCACCTCTGGTGAGCCCTGCCCGTGGACAGGAGAGAGACAGACAATTCCTGGCCATGTACCTCGCCGTTCAGAGCAGCCCACTGCAAAGCTGAGAAAGTGATACATATTATTGATGAGCTGATGCATAAGGGCAGATACTTAGAAAAATTTAAGTTCGGGACTGGGAAGGCAACTCAGTAGTGAGTGCTTGCCTGAGAGTGCACGAGGCCCCAGGTCCCAGCCCCAGACCATCAAAAAGGAAAAAGAATAAATCAAAAACATTTTTTGTGTTGCCACTTTTTTCAGTGCTTACCATAGGCCTTCTGCATCTACTCTTTCCCAAACAGGACATTCAAAAAAAAAAAAAAAAAAGAGATGCTTTCTTGACTATTTCTAATCTGCTTTTGGAGTGATTGGTATTAGTGAAGCTTGTTTTCTATGCACACTGTGTTTCATTTATGATCTGAGTAAATCTAAAATTGCAAAATTACTCTCTGTTCAACTGGATCTTTCTAACCCTGGTTGCTGAACTTGTTTCTTAATGAAAGAAGGTGAAAAAATGTATTCTGTTGAAAGCCAAGAAAAACAACAGGTTTTTTAAAAAAGTCATGTTTAAAATTCAAACAAGCTGGTTATGGTGATGCACGCCTGCAATCCCAGGCCTCTGGAGGCTGAGGCTGGAGGATTGCCACAAATTTGAGGCCAGCCTGGGCTATATAGAGTCAAGGCCATCAAGATCTGTCTCAAATAAACGAACAAAAAATTCTAGCAAATAATAAATAAGCATCAAACAACAGAAGTCGGAACTATCAGTTAAGTCATAGGCGAAGTATTAACAGCATCGTTTGCAGGGAAAGAATAAAAATTGGTGAAAGGTGTGGTATCCCGGCTGCTAAGGGTGAGTAGTAAGATGGTTCTCTTCTGTGGGGTTTTAGCTAGCAAAGCAAATGAATGTAAAAATGTTTTCTGATCCAAGCTGCTGTCTGGGATGGGTAAGAAACCACCAACTCAGCCACCTCCCCCTCTTGCCTTGCAGCCATTCGTCATCTATGACATGAATTCCCTGATGATGGGTGAAGACAAGATCAAGTTCAAACACATCACACCCCTGCAGGAGCAGAGCAAGGAGGTAGCCATTCGTATCTTCCAGGGCTGCCAGTTCCGCTCGGTGGAGGCTGTGCAGGAGATCACGGAGTACGCCAAGAACATCCCGGGCTTTGTGGGCCTCGACCTCAACGACCAGGTGACCCTGCTCAAGTATGGTGTGCATGAGATCATCTACACCATGCTGGCCTCGCTGATGAACAAGGACGGCGTGCTCATCTCCGAGGGCCAAGGCTTCATGACCCGCGAGTTCCTCAAGAGCCTCAGGAAGCCCTTTAGTGACTTTATGGAGCCTAAGTTTGAATTCGCTGTGAAGTTCAACGCACTGGAACTGGATGACAGTGACCTGGCCATATTTATAGCCGTCATCATTCTCAGTGGAGGTATGAGTGCTCTGACCCTTGTGGGAGGTGGCGGGAGGGAGGAGGCTCCCTGTGCTTCCTGCAGGTCCACATTCCTCGTCCCTCTGTGTTTGCCCCATGTTGCATCCAGAGAACCCCCAAGAGTGGATGAGTGGTGGATCCCTGCCCGAGTCACATATCACCTATGGAGAAGGAAGGGCTAGGTTTGCTGAGTGGAGGCTGGGAGGACCTAGGCTCATTGTTTTCCTCCCTCACAATATTTCCTTCGCCTCAGCCACATCCAATCATGGAAAAGATACTCTCTTCTTTTAATGTTTTTCCTCAGTTGCTTTCCTTTTCTTCTCAAAAGGCCAATCTGACCCTTAGTCCATTAAGTAAGGGTATCGATAACTTAGCTGGTATCCATGTACCATAGAGAAGGTGCTACAGCAACCTGTAGGGCTTGGAGGCTTGGCGGAGAGGCACATGCCTATAATCCCAGCTACTTGGAGGCTGGGGTAGGAACATCTTGAGGTCATCTTGGGCTAAGTAGCAAAAACAAGTGAAATGAATCAAGGACTATGCATCTGCTGACCTCTACCTGCTCTGTCCTGCAATTCTCCAGACAGATGGTCCCATTAGGTCCCTTTGTGGAGTGCTTGGCTGTGATTAAGAGTGATATGAACCACAGAACACAGTAGAGAAATCAATTGAGTTGTGTGTTGAATTTTTGGCCTTACAAATCCATGATCTAATAGCCAACCCTAAAAGCCAGGTTTCATACTAAATGAGGCTTTCATTAGCCTCTCTCCTATTTCCAGGTAGAAGAAAGTCTTCCTTTCATCACCTAACATAAAAAAATTGCTCAAAATTATTTTTCCTCTGATTGAACCCAGGGAACTTCTCGACCACTGAACTTCATCCAGTCCTTTTGATTTCTTTTAAAACAGGGTCTCACTCGTTGTCCAGGCTGACCTCCAACCTGGCCTCCTCCTGCCTCAGCCTCCTGAGTAGCTGGGATTCTTGACTACCCCACCATGCACAGCTTGCTTTTGTTTGGGGAATTTGTTTGCTTGTTTTGTGGTGCTGGGGAGCAAACCCGGGCCTCGCCTATGCTAGCTGAGCTATACCCCAGCCAGCAAATGGCTTTTACCTGAGACATCCTCTATTGAAATGGACCTGGGTGAGCATTCCACATAAGGGTGCTGGGGGGGTCAGTGTGTGATGACAGTGACAGTGACAGCAAACACCGTGGGAAGGCTGTCTCCTAACACTCGCTGCACAGGCATGCAGCCCAGGGGGTGACTGCTGTCTTCCAGACAGGTGGCCATAGCTTACAAGGTCCACCCACCCTTGCCCATATGATGTATATCTGGATGCCCCCAAAAACCTTATGCACTCAGAGGCAGGGCTTTTGCAAGAGAGTTAGACAACTCATGGTAGTTCTTCTGCCTCAGCCTACTGAGTGCTGGGATTACGGTTGTATGCCACCACAGCCACCAAGGCAACTCTTTTTATTTTGATCTTTTCGAGACAATGTAAACTAGGCTGGGCTTGACTACTTTGTAACCTAGGCTGTCTTTGAACTTGCAGTGATCCTCCTGCCTCAGCCTCCTGAGTGCTAGGATTACAGGCATGTACCACCGCATCTGACAAGGCACCATTTTTAATGACTATAAAATACTCTGTTTTATATTGCATACTAAATTATCTTCCTATATGTTTAGGTTGTTTATTATTTCTTAGTTTTAAAAAACCTATAGAAATTATTTTAAATGTGTTCTACATGTTGCTGTAGTGAAAATTATCCTGTGTAAACTGCCATCTGCAATTCAGATTATTTTTTCATTCCAAATTATGAGAAATTGAATTGCTAGCTATGAATATTTTGAATTCTATTGTGTTGGGGCCAGACTGCATTCCATCAGGTTTGTAGCAGCTTAGCCTCCCTGCACTGAAACCGAGGAAAGCCTCTAACATGAGCCACCTGAATTTGCTTGGCCCTCAGGAGGAGTAGGCCAGGCAGGAGCAAGTGGAAGGCTGGGAGGCAGAGTGCTGGTCTGGCATGCTCAGGTCACTGGGGTTCAGCTCCAGGATGGGGACGAAGTCTGTGATGGGCCAGGAAATAGTTCTGTATGCAGTAGATGGGATTTAACATGGCTTTTTTGAGTCTGGCTCATCCTGACCTATGAAAATTAAAAGGGCACTACTGAATAGAGGTGTTGTATGAATAAGTGCTTTTTAGCCTTACAAGGGACAGTGTCACCAAAGCCTCCCTCCAGATCTTGTTGTGATCCTCACAAGGAAAGAAATCTGAAGGGAACAGCCTTCCAGGGTTAATTAAAATCTTTCTTTTTACATTTGAGACAAGGCCTTGATATGTAGTCTAGACTATCTTTGAACTCACAGTGTAACCCAGGCTGCCCTCAAACTTGCAACCCTCCTGCCTCAGCCTCCTAAGTACTGAAAAATTAGGTCTGTATTACCATGATTGGCTTTAACACCCTATATAAAAAGAAAACCCAGTATAAGTCTAGACTTCCTTGGAGGAAGAAAAAAATTACCATTGACTCATTTCTACATCACAAAAGTCAAAGTGTTCCTTAACCAGAGTTTGCTCTTGTAGATGAAGTCTAAATACAGGCAGCAGACAAGAATGAATAAACTGGACCCCGTGTTTGCCCAGCGCCCAGGAATGTGATTTCTTTACTCAGAGAAACTGCTGGGTGCAGGCCAGGCAAAAGCATCACCCAGCAGATGTTTCTAGCCTCAAGCCTGTTGTTGTGGGATCACTGGCCCAGGCTGAGGTTCAGTAGTTTCACAGTTAGTTTCCCTCCCATCCTAGAATTTCAGAAAGACAAAGCATGTGTAGAAATAAGAGACTTTGATCCACTGGACGAATGTATGATCCAGCCCCATCTGAGCCAGGGCTATGTTCTCTGTACCTTATCTGCAGTCTATGGATTCCATTACTGATATCAAAAGTACTTTGACATGAGCTCAGACGACCTCATCCTGAGCCCCAGATGCAAGGAAGAGCTTCAGCCTGGTGGCCTCCACCCCTGGACTGAGGGTGCCGAGGGGGAGCAGAGTGCTGTGTAAAAGCAGGGTGGAAGGGATAAGGTTCTTGGGGAAGCCCTTAGAGGTCCCAGAGAGTGCTTTGGGGATGTTTTGTTTTCTGAGACAAGAGTCCTGCTATGTAGTCCAGGCAGCCTTGAACTCACACTGCTCCTGCCTCAGCTTCCTGGGTACTGGGATTACAGGCATGGACCACTATACCTGGCCCAAGAAGGGCTATTTGGTTGAAAGCAACTGATGTGACTCAAACCAGTATTTGCTGAGGAAACTGGTGCTGCTGTTCTAAGAGTCCTGTGTTCACCTTGACCCCTAAAACCTGCCGACCCCCTTGACCTGGTGTTTCAATCTGCTCTGTGCACATCATCTCTGCCACTCTTGCAGCCCTGAACCAGCTTGCTGAGAAAGACCTAGTTCTCAAATTGTCTTTCTCTCACTCTCAGTTTGAGGGTAAATTTTGGCTACCCAGAAAGAGCAGCAGCACTCCACAGCCTGAGCTCAGCCCTCCTCCTGCTTTGGAGTATTGGCAGTGGCAGCCTCTCCTTGGAACCTAAAGGTCTGGCTGAGAGCTGGTGACCAGGGAGCAGTAGAACAGGACCGAAACCCGCATCCTCACTGCCACCCCGGCCACCCCCACCTGCTCTGTGCCCTCTGCCTCCTGTGGTCTGCACACAAAGCTGGGGCCTGCAAGTATCTCCTTGAAGTTCTGGCAAATGGCAGCTGCCCTCAACCCTCTGTCCTTGCTGCTCACACAAGGCAGTGGTGTCAAGCGCAACGAAGCTGCCCCCAGCAAGAGGATGCTTGCATCCAGTGCCGCAGCCCCACGCCAGCTCTGCTAGCAAGCCAGCCATGGGCCAAGTGCGAAGCCTGGGAAGGCTGACAAGCCCTGGGGTGTCCGTGGGACGTCACCCCCTCAGTGGGTGCCTTTTGGTGGAGAGAAGCCAAGGAGGGCTCCTTCCAGCTGGAATGCATCGACAGGAAAAGCCTTTTTCTGCTAATGCAAAACAGTTTGGAATCCATTTCAATTCTTCCTAAACTTCCAAGAGAGGAGAGGGGGAATTCACTGGGTTTACAGTGTACTTTTCAAGGAAAATTGCCATCGCTGCCTGAATGACAGAAAAGTTTCAAAAATCACAGTGGCATAGATGGCAGGTCGCTGGCCTCCACAGTGACCATCTGGAGTCCAGCACAGATGTACAAACCACCTATCCAGCAGCTCCTCCTTTACCAGCTCTGAAGCAGCTCTGGACCACTGTTGTTAGAATGAGCAGAGGGTAGGAGAAGGAGGAGGAATTTCTCCCATAGGAAGAAGAGGGGAGGAAGAGGAAGAACTGCTCTCATAAGGACACATGTCCACATTAGGAGTGGACATTCTGAGTCAGTTCAATAGTGATTCTGTCAGTGACCTGGGACACCACAGCTCATCTTGAGGTGTGACCAGATGGATGATAGCTGGATGGATGGATGGATGGATGGATGGATGGATGGATGGATAGATGAATGGGTGAATGATGAATGGATAGATAATAGATGGATAGATAGATGGTTGGAGAGATGGATGGATGGGCAGATGGGTGGATGATGGATGGATGATGGATGGGTGGACAGATGGATGGATAGATAGATGGATTGGTGAATACCCTGTATAATTCTTTTTAGTTAAAATAGAACCAAACCACAATACTTGGCCCAGAATAAGTTAACAAGTATTTATTGAATGAATAGTAATCTGAGACAGTCATAATAACCACCATCTGTTGAGTACTTCAGTGTATGTCAGATGCACACTGAGCACCTCACACACATGCACAACTCTTGTCTAATCCTTTCTGCAGTTCTGCACGGCCCATCATTACCCCAATTTTACCAATGGAGGAAATGGAAGGTTAGTGTGATTAAGCAACTTGCCCAAGGTCACAAGGCTCAGACCCAGATCTTTTAGACTTTAAGAATAGCATACCCAGAGC